GGATAGATTAATAAATTAATTTAGCTATAGATATTTGCATATTGGTGAAATTTTAAAATGTGAAAATAAATATTGTAGTTAAAATTTGTTTTTTTTTTTTGTTTTTTTTTTTTTATAAAAGAGTAACAGAATGATAGAACTGGCCTTAAAAAATGAAAAATAATAACAATGATAGAACAAGTCATGAAGTATAAAAGAATGAGGCTTAAAAAGTATAAAAGGATGATGGAACAAGGCTGAAAAAAGAATGGCAGAATAAGGCCTAGAAAGTATAAAAGAATGGCAGAATAAGGCCTAGAAAGTATAAAAGAATGGCAGAATAAGGCCTAGAAAGTATAAAAGAATGGCAGAATAAGGCCTAGAAAGTATAAAAGAATGACAGAATAAGGCCTAGAAAGTATAAAAGAATGATAGAACAAAGCCTAAATGTATAAAAGAATGAAAGAAAAAGTATAAAATAATGGCAGAACAAGGCTTAAAAAATAAAGGCATGTATGAAAACCTTTATCATCTTATTTTGAAAAGGCAAAAAAGATGAGATTAATTTTCAAAAAATTAATTCAAAGATCCATTTTAAATATATTGTGTGTCAGCATTATTATTTCTTAATAGTATAAATGCTTTCTTTCATGGCTAGATGTGTTTGAGTAGCCACCATGACTGGTGGTGTTAATATGTCAGCAACATGATTGTGAAGTTTTATAAAATTATTGGTGTACCTGTGCCATTAAAAATGATTGCAGTTGTTAGAAAGTTTTAAGTGTGAGATGCAATGAAACAAAAGTCTTGTAACAACATATTAAGATTCAATAAAGCAGAGATAAAGAATTCAAAACTAAAATAGAGGCTAAGTTTAATTTATATTTTTTAAACTTTCAATGATAATTTTGATTCATTGATCACTTCTGCTATTGTATAAATCACTTTACTTCATAACTTTTCATTTTAAAAATTTTACATGATTAATATATAGTAGTGAGATAGAAATATCTCTCGGAAGAAAAAGATTAGCAACAGATTGACAAAGACAGCGATGACACAGCCTATTTCAAGACCAAATTAGAGCATGATGATCACTTAATAGACAAAAGTATCTGAGTGCATCACATGAAAGGATTGAACAAATAAGACTGCAATCTAAGAAATATAGGAGTAAAGGAACACAGTGAAATGAATAAGGGAAGTAATCACTTATAAATTTACTAACTTAAGTTGATTTACCTCCCTTACCAGGAAAATATATAAATAAATGCACATTGATAATTAGTGTTGATTTGATGATTTTAACAAATATTATAGAATATGAATATATATTTTTAAAAAGTCATTAGACTATAATGTAAGTTATTTTACATCATTTGCTTTCTCAAATGACTGTATACTTTGATGAAAGACTTAATAATAATAATAGAGGTTACAAAAATAGTTTTGCCAAAACAGGCAATTTTAATAGGCTGTGGATATTATTTTCCCTACTGCTTTGAGCTGGTCAATGGCTTCATTGCCCTAAGCTGGCTTTTTTTATAGTTTTATTACCATGATATAGTTCTATGATTAAAATATTCAAAAAAGGTTATGCTTTTAATTGCTACTTACATTCAAAATTATTGGCAGCCAGTTAAGTTTTTCCAATTTGTGTTATTTAGCTTGCCCAATCAATACTAGGTCTAATTCAGAAGGATGTTCCTCTGCCCAATCAAAACTGGGTCTAATTCAAGCCATATACTCAGTACTGAGGAAGACCAAATCTGAATTTCATTTAAGGTGTCAAAATCTCATTACATTAAGTCCTACCAGCCATCTCTCTGTAAGAGTGGTTGGTAGGATTAAAGATAATATGCCTTTAAGTATTATATTTTGTTATATAATATTTGGTCTTCAGTGTTCATTTTTATTTCTATACATATTTCTTGTCCCCGATCGAGCTCCTATTTGAGAGGACTGATAAAATGATGTAGTTGTCTTTTTTGTTTGTGTTATATATTGATATTACTAGTTTATGGTAATATTATTTTTTGTTAGACCTGTTTTTTGTTATTAATTTTTACTTTTTAATTTATCCATTTTTTTTTATCACTTTATTATATAACTGTCAACATAAGACAAATATTAGTAGATAACACCAAAATACTCTACAGCACCCAATGCAAGGAAAGATTTAGAACTCTAGTATAAAAATTTACTTTGTAGGAAATATATACTCTAGATAAATGCAAAATACTCTATAGCACTAAGTGCAAGGAAAGACTCAAAAACCTAGAAGCTGTTATTATACAAATTAAACAACCCACATTAAATAAAATGGTATTCACCACAGAAGAATGTATCTTGAAGTGCATATAATTAATGTTCACACATCACATATGTTAGTATTAATAATATAAAAATATATAAATAAAAATTAATCAATAATTAAAATAAAATTAAATTAATTACATTCTTTTTGTGCATCATCATCGCCAATAGATGTTACATTACACTAGACCATTTCAAATGTCCAGCTTCCCAAAGAATGCCAGGATGCAAACAAAAAGAAATATATATATATATATATGGTATGATGGGTAAATTGTCGGCATTTTATATTTTTAATTACACATGTGTGTTGTTTGTTCCTGATTTTGTTGACTGCACCATCTGTGAGAAAAGGAGCACCATGATGCAATTCCCTCTGCCAAAAATTTGGAAATGCCCTGCTGTACTGTTTGGGATTTGCACTGGAAACTAATACAAACATTTAAGAGTGTTTCAGTGTCAATCTGAGGACAGAGCAAAGGATTCAGAAAGAGTTGGATGAGTCTAATGGTGATTATGAAGATATTTGGAGTGATTTTGAGGAGGCATAGTGGAGTAATGTATAGTGGCTTGGATTGAGGAATCGGAGAGCCGAGTTCGAATTCCATTCGAATCCATTACATTCACTTACGTGCTAATACTCTTGGGAAAGGTGTGAATCCTCTTCTTCTCCCTCCAGCTATTGGTAAATAGCAGGACAGACTGGGTTCTATAGCCTTGGATGGCAACTGTTCTAGGAAAAGGAAACTCTGGAGTGGAGCCCCTAAGATGGATGGATGGATGGATGGGACTTCTGGCAACTCCTGCAGCTGCACTGGTACCAAACTGTATTGGTTTATCCTCTCCTTTGGACTCTGCTAGCAAGGCCGAGAGGGGGAACTAGACGTCCGGGCAGCCCTAGTTCTCCATATATCCCGTCCAGGCTCATAGTGCACCGTGCTACTCTATCGTTTCTCGAGACGGACGGATGCTGACGACAACGACAGAGTGATTACTAGTGATGGTGTCATTATGCCTCCAGTCATCTTCCCACAGGGCCTCAGAATCAACATGGAGGCCTACATCAAGTGCCTTGAGGAGGCAGTGCTGTCCTGGGTCATGAGTGGGCCTGCTGGAAGACCCTATGTCTGGCAGCCAGATTCTGCTCCATCCCTCACAAGCAGGAGAACCCAGTCATGGTCCTGATTATTATGTGTAGGGTGCAGTTGAGTGAGAGGCAAACAAAACCCCTTGTAACACCAAAGTTGAACTGAAGGCAAGGATTATGGCAGCATTCACCAACATAAACAAGGAGACCATCCAGAAGTGTTGCAGGAGGTTTTGAAGTCATCTGGAGGCTCTGGTTGAAGCTAATGGTAATTTTATTAAATAAATTTACTCTTTAGTATTTCAAGATATTTTTGTGTGATTTTGGCAAATATATCTGTTAAAATGAGATGTCAGTGTTTTGCATCATTTAGATGACAATTTATCCATCGCACCCTGTATGTATTATGTTTTTTTTCCTTGCACAGTTTTTGGTCACTGTTTATAATGGTTTATCAGCTGTCAATCTGAGATGCTTTTGAGGCATTTATGTATATCTGAAATTATAAACAATATTATCATTCATTGTGTTGTAACTTAGGGAAGGTTACTGAATAGAATAATCAAACGAAGGTTAGTAATGAATGATAATACTTAGGACAAGAACAACACATAAAAGATTCACCAGTGGTATGTAAAAGTAGTAGTCAACTGCTAGAAGTGAGTCAAGTGAATTCCACAATGAATCTCCAAATACAGATCACCATACAGTATTTACTACTGTATTTATGTGAATGGGGACATAACCCATTATTGTCTGTATGTATGCTACAAGACATTGTAAGTTCACTGCAAAATAAAGGCACTGTTCATATCTTTTGTGATACCCATCACTGTGTCATTCTCTGTCATGTTTTAACAGTAAACCCCTTTATTTAATCTCTCGTCTTATGCCTGATTTTCTTGTTGCATTTATTATCCATTAGGCACCAATCAGCCAACCTTTTGCTTCATCTGTTTTCCTTTCTTTTTTCTATATAGTCCTCAGCATTTTTGCTGCTTAACTATTTCTAGATTCTCTATTCTCTTGGTTTGTTCTTGGCTTCATTTATCTTACAATTATCTTTAGCAGTACTCTTTTTATTTACTTTTGTGCATTTTTGAGTTTGCTTTTAAGTGATATTTGCTAATTTTGATGTTTCACATCTGCATGTTAAAGTTGAATTTATGCATTCATTAATTGCTTTACCTTTTTAATCACTTTACAAGAAATGCTAAAGTCTTAATGTAGGTTTAAAAATAAACAGAATTGAAACAAAAGTTTAATTCTAATATTTAAAAAAGATAATAATACAGGATGAAGAACTGGAAGAAATCCAGGAATACATCTACTTAGAAATGAATTAAAAAAACACAATGAAAACCAAGCTGTCAGTGTGCTTAAAATATTACTAATATTAATCTTAGTATATATTCTGTTCATATATGCCTGCAACCAGAGGGAAGAAAGGGAATAAGGAGAGAGAATGATGATCCCGTTGCTCAGATGCAAGCAGGTGCCAACTATGACTATATGTCTACATATATTTTAACACTATTATTCTTTACTGTCTCTCTTTCTTTTTCAATGTTTCTTTTCCCCACACTCTAATTTTATTGTAGGCTTATGGGCACGTCATGTTGAAACACCGGTTCCCATACAATCACTGAAGTTAAGCAACATCAAGCTTGGTCAGTACCTAGGTCAGTGATTGCTTAGGAATATCAGGTGCTGTGAGCCTGGAGGTGTGGGTGATATAATTGTTAATGGCTAGAATTATTAATCAGAAAGCCGAGTTCCAATTCTGGTTGAGTTCATTATATTCACTTATAAGTAAATAACCTTGGGAAAGGTATGAATCCAAATCTTCTCCCTCCAGCTATGGGTTAATTAGTAAGATTTGTATCTCTAAAACCATTATCATTTAAAAAAAAAAACATTATTTTACAGTGTAAAAATATTTGCCAGCTTTAAATAACCTGCAAAGATTTGATAAGCTGTAGCAAAGGAATCAATCAAATTTTATTATAGATAAAAATAAAATGAAAACATTTGTATGCTAAAGTATTTTAGCTATTACACTGTAAAAGAGAGTAAAATGCAAATAAATGCTAGGTTTGCAAATGCTATTTTATCCTAGGCAAATCTGAGTATCCTTGCTGTAGATTTGAGCTTCAACTACTTGTATTCATTACTGTTCTATGGCTACTTGTGTTGAAATACTATAAAGAGACAGGGGTGACACTACATGAGGATGTACCAGTGGCTGAAAGAAGACAATATTAAGTGAAATGAAGGAAGTAGATTCATGTGGCACAACCGATTCTTTTGAAATGAATCATAAATCTGATAGTGATGGGACTGCCTGATCATTCACAAGTGGTTTGAAGTGTCCAGCAAACCAGCAAAAGAAGATAGATAGTCGGATTTGTTTTACATGAGATTCATGACAGTTTCCATGGTTGCTTCAGTAAAAGAGTTGAGGAAAAATGGTTTCAGAAAGAGTTAGGACTGAGCAGATAATAGTGGAGAAGAAAGAGAAAGAAAGAGGAAAAAGCTGTTTAGAAAGAGGAAGAGAAAAAGGAAGGAAAAATGATAGGAAGAGAAGAGGGAAAGAAAAGAGAGAGGGAAATGAAAAAGCAGTTTAGAAAATGGAAGAGAAAAAATAAAGAAAAAATTATATGAAGAGAAGAAGGGAAAGAGAAGAGAGAGGAAGAAACAGTTTAGGAAAAGGAAGAGAAAAAGTAAGGAAAACATTATATAAAGAGAAGAGGGGGGAAAAGGAAAAAAGCAATTTAGAAAAAGGAAGAGGAGTCAGGAAAAATTAATGAAGAGAAGAAGGAAAGAAAAGAGAGAGGAAAAAACAGTTTAGGAAGAGAAAAAGTAAGGAAAAATATGAAGAGAAGAAGGAAAGAGGAGAGAGAGAGGAAAAAGCAGTTTAGAAAAAGGAAGAGAAAAATTATATGAGGGAAGAGGAAAAGAGAAATGTAAAGTGGGAGGAAAAAAGAAAGAAAGAAAGAAATAAAAACAAAGGGTAGGGAGGGGAAATAAATAAAATAATTTTGAGAGAGAATAGATAAAGAAACTGAGATGTTGTGAGTTTCCCGCGTGTCGGTGTATGAATCAAGACAAACACAGTTGTAGAGGAAAATACTGGTATATTCATAAAAGCAATTAACAATAGAGTGATTAATAGAACGAAGGTTGGTTAGTACGAAACAATATCCAAAGTCTATAGTCCAACGGTATGTACCGGGTAAGCTTATCTGTACTGCTCACGCTGACTCTCTCTCTGACGCTCTGTCACTCTCTCTCCAGAGCTGACTTATATAAGAGGGACCAGTCCATTACTAGTTAGAAGGTGGGTGCGCCCCAACAGAAACACAGGTGAAGAGAAATAGGGAGTAAGAGAGAATAAAGTGAAAAAGATATAAACTTATAAACAATGAGAAAAACTGGTGAGACTAAAAAGATTGAGAGAAAGGTGAATGTATAGCAGAAAAAATAGAAAAACCTGGTAGAAAAAAAAAGAAAAGATATTGTTGAGTAGGAGGAGAAAGAAAGGAAAGAGAAATAAAAAGAAAGGGTGAAGAATGTGAATGGGAGACATTAAAAATAGAGGAGGAAGAAAGAAAGCTAAAGAAAATAAAGTTTTGTAGTTTGATGCAGCAGACAGGCTTCTGCTTAATAGTTAATTAAATAGAATTCCAAATTTAAATCAAAAAGAAGTATATAAACACACACCGCAGAATATAAACTTTCTCTCTCTCTCTCTCGTGACGTGGCTTCACCCTGTCTTTTCCACATATATTTTCATGGCAGTTGTTCTAATGAGCTGTTGTCCTTGGTGTCTTGACTGCATGAATTTAAATGTATTACTAGATTGACAAGTAGGTCTCACTGTTCTACTATTGAAAAACCTAAATGCAACCATCAGTTCTATTCTAATAGTTTTTCTTTCACTTCTTGCCTGTGGCACTCCCTTCAGTTTTCTTGCTTGCCTGACACCTACAATCTTCAAAAATTTAAATGCAATGTCAATTACCATCTTCTAACTTCCTGAATTCTGTTAAATTTTTGTCCTTTTTTCTTCATTAATCCTAACTAAAGTCTTCTCATTCTCTTTCACTCCCTGTAACCTTTCTAGTGTTGTATAGCCCCCTCGTTCTGAGGGGTCTCTTGGTTGGCATTTGAAGTGGTCATAATAAACTTGTCTTTCTCTCTTTTCTTTGTTTTCTCCTAGTCGGCTGATTGCTAGTTGGTTTTTAGTTCAGAGGTAAAATGAGAACTTCAACAAAAGAGATTTTTAACTTATCTATTTTATTAAATACGTTGATGTGTACATCTTCTAACTAGCCAGTAGGGTTGCTATCCCACCCCACTGGAGAGCACTTTTCATGTACAAAATTAACACATCTGCATTCTTCGACATGTAAAACTTAACTCCCTGAAAACAATTTCTAACTCTAACATTCCCACATTCAGCTCACAAAATAAAAATTGACATCCCTATTTTGTTATAGCTGATAGATTAAAGGTCACTTCAGAAGGTCTGAGCCTAATACAATTGCAAAAAAATAATAGATTGTTAAAAAAAACATTAGATTGATTGATTTTTTGGGATGAAATATTGGAAATTTATCATATATATATATGGGATATATAATGATTATAATAATATATATATATATATATATATATATATTCCCAAGAGGATAGAATCCTTCCAAAGTTTGACTGAATATTTATCCAGGATATGTTATTTTCTTAAGAATGCTCTTAGAAATTAATCCCAACTTATATTTTGAGGGATTAATTAAACGGGACTGCAAGTTATTGATAAAGTTCGGTTTATGATCTTTAAATAGAATGTATGCATCTTTCATATTAAATTTACCTATTCTTTCAGCAACTCCACATTTGTTAGCAAATTTGGAGATGTTTTCATTGATAGAGGATAAGGTGCTATTGTCTTTGTCTTATAAGAGCTTGTAATTTTGTCAGTGATGAATTTAGCATATTCAGAAGGTTTAATTTTATAGATATTTTTGGATTTGTCAGCTTTAATCCATAATTTACTGGAGTTTTTTATGTTTTAATGTATTTACCAATTTTAGCTTGGAAGTAGTTTGAAGAATTCCTGAACTTAATCTTCCTAATTAAATTAAGCAAATCTCCTTCGAAAGGTTCAAACAGCTTGTTACACAGTGTAGATTTCAGTTTATATGTTTCATGATTTAGCTTTTGGTCATCTTTGGGATTTAGGAAGAAAAATGTTTTCCACCTCATTCTTTTAACTAGGTCAATAATTTTATCTGTAAGGTAGACAGAGAAAAGATGCAATGAAGGATAAGGAATGTTTTTCAAAGAATAATCCAGAGCAAATTTTTCCATCTTCATGTGAATAGGTTGGAATAAAAGTAGTTCAACTGGAAGTATACCAAAGAGAGCTCAACTTATTACAATAAAAAGCAATATATTGATAATATTAGTGGTATATATATATATATATATATATATATATATATATATATATATATATAAAATGACAAAGCAAAAAAAAAAATTCAGGTAACACGTTTTATTCTTTTGGAACTTCATCAGGCTAAAGTGATGTTTATGTTGATAGTTGGAGGATGCTGAAATTTTAGCTTTTTAAATAATTTTTTTTCATAGTATATGTTTAGATATACAGGGTGTATCAAAAATACTTTTACAAACTTTGGGGTGGGTTCCTCATATGTCCACAAATCCTGCATTTTTGAGTTAAGTTTAAAGAAAGTTCACTGTAGATGGCACTGTGTTACCATGTAAACGAAATTAAATTTGTCATTCATGGACCTTTATGGCTAGTTTGTCTTCAATGTTTAATGTGTTTAGTAGTGAGTTAACTGAGAAGTGTTCCATTTAACAATGGCAGGATATTCTTATTGCAAACAGGCAGATATGATTTTTATATACAACCACATGAATGGTAATGGACACAAGGCTGCACAGTTGTATCAGATTGCCTTTCCAGACAGAGTCAAGTCAGCCAACCTTTTCTATTGTTTATTGTTGCATTGCTGAGACAGTATCTGTGGCACCAAAAACTATTGATCATGGAAGACCAAGATCCACTTGTACGCCTGACCACAAAGAACACATTCTACATTCTATCGGAGATGATCCAGGTATTAATACACGTCAAGTAGCCCTAGCATGTCATATATCTCATAGTACCGAATGGAGGGTACTTCAACAGTGGCTCCTCTCTCTGTATCATTTGTAATGTGTGCAGGGTCTTTCGCCCTCTGATCACTCACCATGGGAGAATATTTGCTGATGGATTATTACAGAAACTGTTGATATGTTGTTTGTCTCTTCAGTCTTGTTTATAGATGAGATAAGATTTCAAAGAGATTAAATAATAAATTTACACAACCAACATTTGTGGGTGGATTGGAATCTTCATGGTACAATACAGGTTAGATATCAGCCTCAGTTTATGATTAATGTCTAGGCTAGAATGGTAGATGATTGTCTGGTAGGTCCATATGTTCTTCCAACATAGAAGCTTTCTACAGGGACTTTTTGAAACACATTTCCAGACCTACTAGGGGATGTATCCCTGCTAATATGAAGATGTATGTCATTCATGCATGATGGAGCTTTAGCACATTTTAGTCACATTGTTCATGATGCACTGGCTGACATCTACCATAAAAAAGATGGATGGGTAGGGGAGGACTGGTTCCA